AAGTATCTGTACCCAAACGGAGCCGAGGAATGTGTATTTAGTGACGGCACTATACAGAAAGTTACTGTGGATGGCGAGCGAACCATTGAATTCCCAAATGGACAGAGAGAGACACACACGAAATTCTATAAGGTAAGCAGAGGCAGGTTGTTGTTGGTTCTTGTTAGGGCAACAGTTTGGCCACCCGTCTGTCTTGGACAGGTCAAGCTTTTTCCAGGTTCTGAGTCAAGATCCAAGATCCAAGAGGGAAAGTCTATCACAGGGTACTTCACAGTGCTTCGCCAGTTTTTCTGACAGCTAACGAACGCCCCATTTTCTATTGCTGAGTAGAGAGGGGGACTGAGAAATGAGACTTTCTTCCCTTAGTGGAAAAAGTAAGGACCCCACCTCAGGCTTGGGTCAGCGGGCCATCATTTAGGACTTTGCGACCGGCGTAACAGCGACATAATTATCAAAAGTATAGCTTAATACCCATATTACGTGATGTAAAGCAAAAGTAACGAAAAGTCATGCTTGACGTTTTGTACGAGATGCGAAGGACGTGGATATTTGTTACATCTGAAACTTTCTTAACAGATACTGGAAACTCAACAGCCTCCATCACAGCCGTCGTAACTAAATTCCTTGTTTTCAAACCTGACTTCTATGCAAACTCTTTACACTTCTCCTCAAGCAGCCAGCTACATTGACGAAATCGTCTTTTTACATCCTTAAGTTTTCCTTGTTTAAGAATTTCTGTAAGCACGGTATTGATAGCCAATTTTTTTCCTTCCACTTTTGCGTAGAAAAGAGAATACCCTGACGGGACAGTCAAGACAGTGTATCCCGATGGTCGCACAGAGACCCGTTATTCTTCGGGACGGGTGCGGGTTAAAGATAGAGAGGGGCGTGTCCTCGTCGATTCTTCCCACCAGCACAGATGACAGATGCTGTGACGTTGGAGAGATTACTCAAGGGCTTGTAGGAAAAATATGTTATGGAGGCTCAACATCGATAAATGACAATTTCTAACTTATTTTAGTGTTCACCCCCTTTTGAACAAAATAACGAGCTCGTCAGCACACAACTGGGTGCTTGTAAAAATAATACATAATTATTTTTGTTACAGAATCTTGACAACAAGACAAAGGAAATGCTTGTAATAGTATTGTAACTTATCTGCTTGTGCGATTAAATAAGTCTTTTCTGCGTCTTTTTCAGCCCTTTTTCTTTAAGTGTTACCACAAAACAAGGAAATGGAACAAAAATGGCATAAACGTACTAGTTATGGAGTAACGTTTCTAGTTCTCCGGTGATTATCATTTTATGACTTCTCAAGAGAGCGACGAGGTGAGCGATTAAGACTGACAATACCCATTGTCATCATTCAGATGTTAACTCGCAGTTTTAATTAGAATTTAAACTGGCTTTTTTTCTTACTATAACTGTAGAAATTCTCGCGCGCTCATTGATCGAGAACTATTGGTCATGATAGTTCACCACGAAATTTTCTCCGATTCTTATTGGTTTAAATTGATCACGTGACGCGATAGCCGAAAATAGCCAGATGGATAGTGTCCGTCCGCCGAAAATACCCGGATGGCATCATCTACGTTTAAAAGCACACACAACCCACAATTCCTCTTTTCGCTCCGACGAAGGGCTAACGCTCGAAACGTCAGCTTTTGTAATCGTTACGGTGGCCAATTTACCATTTCAACTTTGTTGATATATCCAAATTATTCTTAGACATTTAGTTTGTCTTGGAACGATCCAGGAAATGTCTAGAAGATCTTTGGTAGGTCTAACATAGACAATTTTAGATCTAGCTGTTTTGTACGGGTTAGAAGACTGCCAAGCTTACAGGAAGTCGTGAAATGTTAAGCCAATTTACAATTTCGACTTAGTTGATATTACCATTTGAGCTAAGGGGCTGATCATTTAACTTTTGAGGAGGGGGGGTGAGTGATTTTGAAAAATAAAATCCCTGCAAGCGCTTGTTGGAAGAAAAAAATTGCATGCAGCCCAAATGTAACAGAAAAAAGAGCATTTTAGAACGGAAAAAAATATCCTGCACAGCAGATTGCTAGAAAGAAAATAATGCTCTCGATAAGGACCTTATTGATCCAGACAATGCTGTCACTTTCAAAGCCATCGCATGTTTCTGGCAAATCGTTCGACGCTGTGTTTACGTACGAAGTCGGCTGCTTTCGTTCGACCGATTTTCGCTCTGCTGGAGGTTTCCTCGGTGTTTTTTCTTGCACAAAGCAAAACTTTGTGGGAATTGACCCTGGTTTCAAGTTGACAAGCAAGGCCCCCGGGATTTTCCTAAAACCGTCGGCTTCAAAGTGGTCGCCACATAGCCTCGAGTGCTCATTACTGGCGTGTTTGTTCACCGAATCGAATTTTTGCAAGCTATTTCGAAAGCAGTTCTTTGTTCTGCAGCGGTAAACAATGCCAGGACTTTTTGATTTTCATGTCTGAAGAGTTTTTACAGCCTTAGGCATTACACAATTGAGGCATTTCGAACAAAAAGTGAAAAAACCAGACGAGGGTAATTGATTATTTCTCTAAACACCAACAAAACACGCGAAGCGATCACCACCAAGCCTCCGTTTGACGCTGCGAGAAATTGTTTTGACATCACGCGCAAGCTGTTGCGGGGTCCCCGGTAGTCTCGGAGCCGTTTTTTTTTAATGTCACGCAACGCTCCCCCAAAAGAACGGGTGCTGACAACCGAACTACCTTCCTTTCTCTGAATTGGCCAATCACAGCTCGGGTTCCATTTTCAGGAACCTTTTCGCGCCAGACTCACCTCATTGAGACTCGTCCAATCAGATATCGTTTTCTATCGCGATCCTCATGTGGAAAACACAAGACAAATGGCGGTGCTTGAAGGAGTTTTTCGTAAAGCGTCGTCAAAGTTCAAAATTTTCTAGCTTAATGCTCACCAGAAGCTTGCAATTAAAAATGTTTTAGTCGAGAAAGAAGATGTTTTTGTTAAGTTGCCCACAGGATCCGGGAAATCGTTAATATATCAA